AGGACTATTTTCAAGAGGAGGATGTGGCTCTGCGTGCACAAAGCCTGGGGCTCCATCCCCAGCACTCACACTGTCAGCCCCTGGAAGGTGGAGGCAGGAGTTTGAGGCCAGCTTGGGATACTTGAAACCCTGTCTCAAGAAAATAAATACATATATACGCAAACAGAGGAAGAGTGGAAGGAGTCAACACATTCTGCCCCACTCCCAACGACCTTCCGCCCCAGGAACCAAAGTTCCACAAGCAGAGGAAAAGATTAATTTATCAGCCCTTACCCCACTGATTGACTCCCTTAGTCTTATCTCCATTTGAAGCATTTCCGCTTTATCCAAGGGTGTAAAACCTTGAGAGGCAGAAGTTGCTTTGAGTTTAGTGGATCTTTCTGCCTCTGCCTCCCAAGGTCTGTGGGATCTGTAGGTGTGATCATCACACTCGGCTATTATTAATTTTTAAAAAGATTTGTTTGTTCTTATTTTATGCGTATGGCTGTTTTGCTTGCATGTATGTCTGTGCAGCATGTGTTGCAGTGTCTGCGGAGCCCAGATGGCGCTAGATTCTCAAGAACTGGTGTTACAGATGGTTGTGAGCCATTATGGGTTCAGATGCTCTGGAAGAGTAGCCAGTGTTTTTAACTGCTGAGCCTGTTGTAATAGTGTGATTACACTCCTATAGCAAGATAGGAAGCGGCTCATGGTCAGTTAGCCTGGCATATGCCATGGTAAATAGCAAGACACCTACCTACATGAGGTGGAAGGCAGAATGACACCCTGAGCTTGTCCTCTGACCTCCATACATGGGCTATGCCTGTGCCCACAGTCACGCATATGAACATGCACACATACATACATTATATCAACAAATTGTACATAATAAATCAGGATATGGTGGTACATGCCTGTAATTCCAGTACTTAGGAGGCCAAGGCCAAAGGTTTACGTGGATCCTGAGTTACATAGCAAGTTCTAGGCCAGTCTGGACTACAGACAAGATCCTGTTTCAAGAGCAAACAAGCAATAACAAAACAAAAACATAAATTCACCCCAGTTGGTCTCTTCAGTGTAACTTGGAAGACCATTCTATTGCCCATTCATGACTTGGGGGGATGAAGGCCTTTACAAAGCATACTCAGATTTTTTTCAATAGGAATATTAGTATATGCTTTTTCAATTCTCTGTCATTCAAAATGTCCATTAATCTGGTATTTGTTTTTCAGTATGTCCTGTCTGTCCTGAAATTTACCTACCCCACATTATTCCAAGGGTGAGTATCTTTTTTTCCCCCACAGATTTTGTTTTTTTAAATTTGTACGTTTGTGTGTATATGTATATATGACACATGAATGAAGTACCCATGGAGGCCAGAAGAGGGCATTGTAGTCGTAAGCCACCTGACATGGTGCTGGGAATTGAATTCTAGTTCCCTGCAAGAGCAGCGTGTGCTCTTAACCACTGAGCCATCTCTCTAACTCCCAGGGCAAATATATTTAACTACCTTCATATGCATTTGTAGGAAATGTCCAAACAATGTCTTAAAGTGTTCGTTGAAACAGTTTTAGGAACCACATAGTAATAGGTTTTATGCCCACCTCCCCCAGATCAAGCCAAATTGAAGAAGTATAACACAGGTATATTGTGCAAAGCAACTCCAGGTCAGCTTCACCAACCTCAGAGAATGAAGCCAGAGAAGTCATGCACCCAAGCCAAGGCAGGAAAGTTTTAGAGATTGTAGGTGAGGGGTGATGATGTGTTTGCCACAAGCTGGGTTTGGGCCCAAGTGTGTTCAAAAGCTGAGCGCTTATGCAGGGAATTGGGCAGCTTGTACAAACATGGAACTCTGAGCAGGTGTAATTTGGGGAAGGCTGGAGAGAGGAATGGGGCTTTCTTGACCTTACAGTGGCAAGCCAGAGGCTCCAACTGAACACATAGGTTCTTTCTCAGCTAGAGTGTAGCTATGCAAAAACCTCTTTATTGTCACACAGAGGATACCTTTAGCAAGTCAGTTTCCACATACCAAAACCATTACCTAAGCAATTCTCAGCCATATGGAAACTTCCTGGTTTGCCAGGTGTGCCTGGTGACTAAGCTGTGCAAAAGCTCCGTGAACCCTTCAAAAGAGCAACTCAGATGTCAATCGCTGACTTTACAAGAGGTGAGTTGTCCCACTTAGGAAGCATAAAAGCCTCAGACATTTTTGTATTTGAACCTATCAAACTGGGAATTACTTCTTGGATAGTCCCGCCTAAGAAATTTGGTAAAAGAAAACTTCTTTAGTGGTCTTTTTCTTTCTTTCTTATTTATTTGAGACAGGGTCTCTCTACCTAGTTCTGGCTGGCTGTCCTAGAACTCACCATGTAGAACACATTAGCTTCAAACTCACACAGTTTGCCTGCCTGCCACTCCCTCTCAGGTGCTGAGATTAAAGGTTTGGGCCACCATGCTTAGCAATAAATAGTTTTTAAAAAATATTTCACCGATTTCTTTTTTTTAAGATTTGTTTTGTTTTATGTGTGTGAATATTTTGCCTGTATGTATGTATATATGTATGTGTTTATGTATACTATGTAGTTGTTGCCCCAGAATTCAGAGGATGGCATCAGATCTCTTGGAGCTATAATTGGAGCCCATTGGGAGCTGCCATGTGGGTTCTAGGAATTGAATCCCAGGAAAATAGCTTGTGCTCCTAACCACTGTGCCATCTCCCCACCCCAGTTTACCTTTTAAACCTGCATGCATATGGAAGTTTCTATAATACCACATCCAAACTACGACTCTTATTTTTTCCTTTCTCCAAATTTCATGAGCAAGTAACATTTTTTTTTGTTTGCAATTTAATGTATTCATAAGGTCAGATAGTTTTCTTGCACTTATTATTTGTTTTCAGTGAATTTTCTATTTGTGCTTTTACCCACTTATTTTCACTGAGTTTATAGCATTTTTCTTATTAATTTGGTGCATGTTGTTTTTGGTACAGGGAATTGGGCCTAGGATCCACACCTGCTAGAGATCTCTCTATTACCTAGCTGTATCACCAGCCCTTAAAATTTCCTTTTTAAGACAAAGCTTTGCTAAATTGCTCAGGCTGGCTTTAAATGCATTCTGAAATTCACGCAAGTTTTGAATTTATGATCTTGCTTCAGCCTTCCCAGTAGCTGGGATCCTGGTTTTAGTAAAATTTTTACATTTTAAGGATATAACTATTATGGCTGGAGAAGCGCACTTAGTTAGTGGTCAAGAGTGCTTTCAAGAAGTAGAATTTAGCTCCCAGCTTCCATATCAGGCAACTTGAGACTGTTTGTAACTTCAGATCCAGGGAATCTGATGCCCTCTTCTGTCCGG